CTTATATGCTTGGTTGGCAGGGGTGATGGTGACTGAACTGGCGCCCGACAACTGTGCACCCTCCACCTCCTGGTTCCTGTCTGTGTCGACGTGCAAACCCAGTACTTGCGCGGTAGAGCCCGATCTGGACCGACAATCTCCTGAATTGGGCTGTAGCACCGCAGTTGCCGGAGACCCTTCCTCCAGCGTATCCTCCCGAACGTCCAACCACTGCAGAGCATAGTCACTGACTGAGTCCACGTTAGGCCTGGGATCTGTCGGGTGGCAGAACTCGGGATATTCCACCGGAAGCTGTTCAGTGCTATTGCGGGCTCGGTCAGCACCTGACATGGCAACCTCAAAGCAGTGTGGGCAAAAGCGAGGCATCTCTTTCATGCAAATGGGCTCATCCAGGTCCTCGGGACCCGGGCCGTAGAGGCTCAGTGGAAAAGACCATATGCGGTCTATGCCATCTGCCTTGAACGAATCCCGTCGCAGCAGGGTGTGTTCTTTGTCCAATTCGAGACCACCCTCTTTCAGTATGTCCACGACACTGCAGAACAACTCGTCGTCCGTAATCTTGCTCAGGTTGGGGGTGTGGCCTTCGTTTGAGTTGAAAAGGCCATTCATTGGCCGCTCCCCAGCGAAGATAGCCCATATAGAGACGGCCAGTCCGAAGTAATCATCGAACAGAGTCGATGGCTCACCGTTCTGGCCCCTGTCTGGTGACGTGTATTCGACTGACGGTATTTCAGTCGGCCAGCTGTTCAAATCAGTGTTGTCGACCGTATGGGCTGAAGAGAACCCAACAACCTTCAGAGCATTTTCGCTAGGTATTTGGACGAAGTTTTCGGGTTTGATGTCGCCGTGGATAATGCCTTTGCAATGCAATCCGGTCACCAATATGAGCACTTGCCTGGCAATCGAAACTCGCTCCGCCGGGAGTATCCGTGTCACATCCAGTGGGCGACCAAGGCCCAGCAACGCGCCCTTCTGGTACCATCGCGAACTGACATCGTCGACTATCCCGATCTTGGTGACAACAGGTACGGTGAGATCCTCGGCGATGGTCATCAGCCTTGTCTCTCGTTTCCGGCACACGGGCTTATAGACCAATGTGTTGCTATAGCGATAGATGGGACATTGACTTCCGTTGCTGATAATGGATTCCAAGTGGTCGTCTAGATGTTGACATGATAGTCGCGGATCTGTTTCCAGCATTATTGGAGGCAACGACTCAGCTGTAGTGGTAGGGAACCACGCAATCGCGGCGTTATGATCCATCATCAATGTTGTTGACCTATTGCGAAGAGGTCTTTGTAGCAGGAGGAGGGAAAGAGCACACTTGGAAGCAGTCGAAATAAAACACCGATTGAGGAAAGTTGGTCGAGACTGGTGAACCTCTTTACACAGCCAATAACCATCTCTACAAGTGACCATCTAAGCTTGTCTTTGGGGGCGTTTCTAATTAATGGTAAAAAGAACACACATTTGGAGGTGAGGGCATCCCCGAGAGCAGAAAATATGTTTCTAAGAATAGTTCCACGTAATCCAGACTAATCCGTTGATAATGGAGTTTCGAGCCTCTGGAGCGACCGGGCCGGGTCTGATAGTGGAACAGTACGGATCCATGGGCCACCTCGGTCCGGGTCCAGCCACTAACACCATCACGGCGAAACTCCCCGCATTGCATGATAGTGCAGGGGCTGACTCTGCCCCGGCCTCCTTCAGACCACCAAGTCTTCCATGCGGACTTTACATAAGTAGCCAGCCCTACAAGCCGGCCTTGAAACCATGTGCCTTGCTTTCCAAGCGGTCAGAATCTGAGGAGCCTCAATCTAGGTCAAGATGGAGGACTACCATAAGAGAAGCCGGGCTCCAAGGTCGGGGCATGAAACGACTCACTTATGAACTCTCATGTCCAATACTTCAACGATTCCTCAAGAAGAACGGTCTGTCCGTTTGGGCCTCTCTCGTCTGGGACACCATCGTGGTCGGATTTCACCATTAATAGCCATTTTTGATCTCGCATTTCCACGTGCAGACCACGATCAGCCCCATTATTCCGAGAACTCGGGTTAGACAAGATTGTTTCTCGGTTGTTTCCGGCCGGGCATCACGGCCGGATCACATGCCACTGGGAGTCAAACAGCGATCCACGGCTTGCTCTGATCTCCGCTTTCAACACAATTTCGACCATCCTGGTGACCTTCTGGAACGGTTTTAACTCGACTGGTGGATCAAGCCCATCAATTCAGCCAGAGTAGACTGTTTGGCCTTTGGTGGGTTGTCCCTGCGAAGGCAATCGAGTGGCGAACGAATCTAGATATAATAGTCGAGCAGGAAACCGAGAACCTGGGAAACATCTATAGACCACTCGAGCTACCAAAGCAACCTCCTTCACTCGACTCCCCCCAATGCCCCGTTGCAGGACATCGTTGCGTAGAGACGGTCCATTCAGCCCGCCAGCAGTACCAGCAGAGTTTGATATTCAACCTCACTTTACTCCCATCCGCCCCAGCACCTTACTCAATAGCTGCGCTCTGGACGAGCCACTTGGCCATAAGCCACGGTTTCTCCCTGCAAAAACGGAATGTGCAAGTTCACCTACCTCGGGTACGACCGCTGCGATGAGCCGGACAGGCACTACCTCATCCGTCGTGAGAAGTGTAGCGCCAAGGCCTATGTGAAGCAGTGGTGTGCACCTCACGAGCAGGAAGAGGCGGCGACGGCACACCAGCAAGGCAAGTTCTGGGTGTCCCTGCCATGTCCCATGTGCGCGGACACGCCTGTCATCTACGATCAGCCCCTGCTGGAGATCGCCCACTCGCGCCGTTCCGTCCTGCCTGCTCCCCACTATGATGCCGTCTCCGGGAAGTACTCCCGACTTCCCAGGCATCAGACACCGCCGGACGAATTGCCAGAGAACGTGATCCCGAGGCCTCTCAACCCGAATCGGATGCAGGTCAGGAGGGCAGCTACCGAGTCTGCTGTTGAGATGGCAAACAGGGTGGACCATCAGGAGTACACACTCCCTGCCACGACCTATGTTCCACCACCACAGGAACTCAGACTCCCGAAGCCTCTTCCTATTCCACAGCCTGTCACACTTACTCCGCCATCTAGTCGAGAGGCAAGTCGGTCTCCACCACAGATCAGCATGGATGGCGCACTGCGAACAACGCCTCCAGGAGAAGGAAACAGGCGAGAGCTGGAACGCATCCGCGAGAAGGCCCGAGCAGCCTCTGCCACTGCCAAGGAGCAAAGGCCTGCCACCACCGAGCGCTCGAGGTCAGACTCTACATCATCTTCATCATCATCCTCGACCAACGAGAGCTCAAGCTCCCAACCTAGCAAGCCATCACGCAAGGGCTCGAACGCATCCATATCAACAGCATCATCGCAATCAAGCAGGACCACGACCATAAGCCAGAAGTACAGGCCCCACTGGCGCGCAAGATCCTCCTCCCGCTCCGCACAACAGCAGGACAGCAGCGTCGCGGACACCTTCACGACCGTGGCCCTCAGGAGCATCGGTTTCGGGCGGAGCCTACCACGCTCCGCATCCCCATCAAACTCCTCCCCGGAACGCGAACGCGGGCGCATGCTCCGCCGCCGCCCGACAGGGGGGTCCAGCAGCGAGAGGTCCGACTCCCCGTCCGTCTGGAGGCCAACGATCAGCCCGCCCGTGCTCCAGAATGACAGCCTGGGAATCGGCTCCGTCATGCACGAGGTCGAGAAGTCTAAGCAGCGGCTCGTGCCGATCCCTCCCCCTGCACCTACCCCTCCCCCTGTCCCTGCCGCACCGGGGAAGAGTGACACCCCAACCGCGAACGGTACATCCGTGTCCGCGGGGGAGGGCCTAGTCGAGGAGCCTCCGCGGCCGAAGACACCGCACCCGCACCCGCTTGGCGGCAACAATACCACCACCAACAACAACAACACCAACACCAACAAGCAGCCACCTGTGCTGAGGCTGTTCCCCAACGCGGCGGATGACGAAGAGGTCGCCGCGGCCGCCTTCGAGCGGATGTTCGCGGCAGAAGCCAGGGCGCATGCCCAGCAGGTCCGCGCGCAGGCCCAGGCACAAGCCGACGCGAAAGCCCAGGCCGAGACTCAAACCCAAGCTCGAACTGCTGCTGCTGTTGCCGTCGCTCCCTCGGAGGAGAGCGCTGCTGCTGGTGGTGGTGGTGGTGGTGCGTGGGCCAGCGGCGCCCAGGGGAATCTCCCTGGGAGGGGGGATAGCAAGACACTCCCGCCCGTGCCGACGACCCGGGGTCCTATCAGGCGGATCCTCAGCGGCCAGGTCAGGACGGTCAACGTCCCGCCGCCGCGTCCGGTGCGCAGGCAGAACACGACTGATGGTGTGGTCGCGTCGGGTGTCTCGTCCGCTTCTTCGAAGTCGTCATCATCACCGCAGCAGCAGTTTGGCAGCGGCTCGGTCGTGAAGGTCAAGCCGGGCCCTACGTTTAGTCTTGCTGGAGTGGGTGGTGGTGTTGGCAAGGCGCAGGAGTTTGAGATTGTTACTGGGTTTGATGGGGGTATCTTGCAGGAGCCTGCTTTGGGACAGGCGTTTTGAATGCCATGAAGACACTCGTTGTTATGATGGCCGGTGATCGAGGATCAGGGCTTTTCGCAACACCGGCATCTTCAAGTCTTGCTTGACCTCGGGAGGCAAGCACAACACTCTTTTGAGACGTTTTCTTTTGTTCGACATGTCATTTTATCTGGTTCGATAACGGCTATGCCTCGGGGTATGGGACCACCGACGGACATGAGGCTTCGAACCTGTGTACAATATGTGTGATTATATTTTGGGTGGAGGGATACATACCATGGGTACTGGAGTTGATCTGTTTGTTTATCGGTAAAAAAATGCATTGTCAGGAAACCAGTTCTTCTTGGGCCTAGCGTGAATAGCTGCTACACTGCCGTAATGATTGGTGCCCACTCTCTCAGCTTGATGAAACGATAGCAAAAATCGTCAGAGAGAAAATCGAGGAACAAAAGAGCAAAAGGAATGCGCCAGCCCGGAGTCGAACCGGGGGCCCATCGAAACTGCTTGTTGGCAACGATGGATTTTACCGCTAAACCACTGGCGCTTATTGGATTGTTTGATGAAGGACACTATCTTGAAAGCTTTATATAGATTATTTTACAAAGTGGACGATGCTTGACAGCCCGTCCGTACAAGGGCACGACCAGTTCGGAGTGGTTGGAAATCCTGTCAGAGGAGATGTTGTTCGTATAATTGTGCAATGTGTTCTTCTATAACTACCTAGGTCAATTGCCTAGTGGAGGCAGAAGACACGAATTCCAACATCTGGAGGACGGGCAAGGCTATCGTCTTTCTTGTGCGTCCATCTTGCCATCGTTCTCACAATTGTCAATTGAAAATAAATTGTGCTTGTCATACGTGACCGCCTCCTGGCTATCTACAGGTTACTATTCAACAGACGGTAAAGTGGTGAGTCGACGATAATCCGGTGTTCTTGGTAGTAGTAGCAATTGGTGGTTCTCATCGTTGTTACTTATTGCGCTTGTTGTGTTGTCCAGCACCAGGTTGTCTATGATAAAGAAATCGGCAATTAATCTATATAGCCTTCTGAATCCATATATCACAAATAATAAAGTTGACCTTAAGCTCAGAACCAAGATACACCGGTCCGAGACCTCGGTAGGTGCCTTCAATTAGTTCTCGCCTGCCTGACCTACGTGACCGACCGCTCTCAATATGTCACCAACAAGTTCCGCCCTTATGGCCGCGCGTTGCTCTCCGTTTGCAGCCTGGGCGAGCTCCTTCTGCTTGAGTAAAGCGCCATTCCATGCAAGCACTATTTTCATTTCTGGACTACCAGGACGCAGATGCAATGCATCTCGAAACGCAAGGCGGCCAAGGTCTCGCTGCTTCGTCCTCATTGCTCTGAGGCCAGCTCCGTCCACGAGCAGGTTAAAGCGGTCCAACGGCAGAGAACCTAGATCGCCGTCATCAGCCACGTCGATGCAAAGAGTTATAACCTCCGCCAGGCCCGATAGCTGCTGACGTGTCGATGGAAAGGTGGACATGAGCTCGACACCCATGAAAGTGACTCTGCTGGCGCGTTGATGCAAAATGGTGTTGAGATCCAGCGGTATATCGGGAAGAATTTCGTCAGAGAACTGCTGGAACACCCATACCAATGCCGCATCAATGGTCTCATCGGCCATCCTGATCAAGACACTCTGTATGCGAAACCGGATAATGTCCATGTAGCGCCGCAGTTCGACCCGGGTCTCGTTGTCTTGCTTCAAGATACCAAAGACGAGATACTGCAGATATTGTACCTCGATACCGAGGCGACGCTGGATCTCGCTGGCCTCAATGATAATCAAGCGCGCTTGCTCTACATACGCGAGCAGTGCAGCCTCCATCGTCGGCGCATCAGCGTAGTTTTGGCCAGCCTTCGCACGTCTGTAGGTTTCCAGGAGACCACGGGCCGGGATCAGCAGTCGCCTGATCTCTGCAATGTGCCTGAAGAGAAGTGCATCGTTCCGGGGCCAGGTCTTCTTCTCATAGTGCAGTCTCTTGCGCATAACAGACCCTTCGGCCGTCTCGTTCGTCTTGGCCGAGAGGTAATCAGCTAGCGCGTACTGGTTGGCCTTCCGGAGCAGATGCCCCACCGCCGCCATCCATAGGAACACCCTTCGGCTGCCAAAGGCCCTCGCCACGTCTTTCTGCCGGGTATAGTAAAACTTATACTGGCTCTTGAGAGGATTTCCCTCCCACTGATGCGTTGAGATCCGGAGCGCCTGATGGCCATACTTGTCGAATGGGCCCCCGGCCGTCCAGAAAGACTCGCCGAAGAACCGGCTGTATGCGGTGACGGGGATAGCAGTCTGCCGGCCGATCATGGTTGGTGGTGGCTCGGTGAGCAGCTTCGGCCAGCCACTGTCGAACTGATCATCATTGTTGACTTGTGGGGCATTTGAGGTGGTTGGCGGATGAGGAACGCTTGTTGGGGCAGGCCACGAGTGTATATTGACGTGTATTGTTGTGGGGAAACCATGGTCCTTGTCCATCCCATATCCCGTGACTTGATGTACCAGAATTCCACCCCATATCTTTCGTCTTAAAGCATCAGTCATCACGGAGTTCATGTAAATACAGACAGCGGGACAGATAAAGAAACAGGGTGCGCGTGTTTAGGTCTGCTGGCTTACCGAGTTTTCGAAAGCAAAGCCCTCCTCCGCTTGTGGCTCGTCTTGAAAGCTTTCTCGATTGTCAACACGAATTTTCGTAATCTTGGAAAAATTGCCACAGGAATAGCAACGCTTCGGCGCATGTATTCCGTGAACATCTAACGGCAGGAGTCCGTCGCTGGGAGCACTGCTTACAAGATCTCAGGTCTCATCATGCCTTTACTGCCATGCATCCTCCATCCTAAATTCCGCAGTAGATCTAGTTGATTCTGAGGCAGAGCCCCTAGATTAAAAGTAGGATCTTGCAACACCGGATCAGTATGCCATCCCGGAACATTCATCATTATAGACTGAGTCATAAACACGGCGTGCTACATACGTCGATAAACAGGTTAGCCTCGAAGAACTGATATGGATGCTTAGCAGGTGGGCTGGGATATTGTTTACAGTGAGCTCATGCAGAAGAACACTCGCGATTCTCATCGACACCGCAATCTTCTCGGCCGCGGAGTATTCCGGCACGAGTAACGGCCAGACCATCTCCGGCGAGAGGAGCACGTTGACCACACTCGGGCTTGGACTCGAGAAGTCACTTCCTGGCATGACCCTCGTGAGGCCACTGACCCCGTCTGCGTCGTATGTGGTTGAAAAGGATGCGAAACCTATATGTAACAGTCTGTCAAGCACGAAGGCGGTTATCCCGGCCGCGTCGAAGTTGCTCCGCCGGAGGTCCCTGGCCTCGGGATACATCTTATCTTCATCAACTTCGAGCCACACTGAGGTGAGAGATACGCCCTCTTCCAGTACGCCGGGGACCAGGCGATGGTCCACTGGTCGGCGAGTGTAGAGGTCCTGGATAGCTTGCCAGAATGGAGGGTTGGAAAACAAGACTTTAGACGCCAATCTCAGCGCCGGTTGCATAGCGTCCCATAAGACGTCGTTGTTCTACGGGGCTGTTAGCTTCCTGTTGATTGAATAAATCTCAATGATTGAGTTGTTATTAGGTACTTACTCTGAGATCATATCTACCAATCTGCCTGGGAACCTCAGGTGTGCCGGGAATAATGTAGTGAAGGTAGGGGTCGAGCTCAGGTCGCCCTTCGAAGTTCGGCTGCATCCACTTGTCACGCTCAAGGAGCCTGTATCGGCGTCAGAAACATGGTAGGTTCCTATTGTCGCTGTTATATAGGTTCACTTACGTGTGTAATTCGCCTTGCAAACTATCGTGGGCTGGATCAGAGAAGTTCATACCGGGATCAAACGCCCCTTGGGCTTTCAGCTGCAACCGAGACTTCATCAACACAAGACGCTCGTAGACCGATGGATGTAAACTTACTTCCTCAGCAGTATACCCCCCAAACGTGAAATGCTGCCAATCCTCGACCCAATCAGGCGCCTCGGTGACATCGATATAGGCATCCGAGATAGGAGTCAACAACGAGCGCCCGGGATTATCAGGAGGCGCGCGCTCATCGATGCCGAAGCGTCTTATCTTGTTAGCAACTTCGAAACTGTATTTAGAGCCCGTGTAACTGGATTCGGAAGACTTGGTACAAAACATACTGTGCGTAAGTACTTGGGTTGTCATCCCCAGGTACAAGAGCCGGTCGACGATGCGAGCCCAGCACCACGTCGGGTGTCGTCCACCACGGTATGAACTTATAATGCAATCCATCACGCCTCAATGATCCTGA